TGGCGTATTATACCTCCAATCTGCTCCTAGTTACCTACTGGGGCCATTTAACCTAGACGCGGACGGACCAATGGCATTTGAGCTCCAGCAGCAACAGAAATGCCTCGCAGCACTTTGTTAGCCAAAGCTACTCCATGATGATTACGACCAATGTTGCAGGATCTTGTCAGCACCCTTGATGTTTATGCGGTGGCTTATGAGAAGCACCAGTTCTTTTGGAACACCGTTCGTAATGCAAGCTGCATATGGAAGTGCAAGTGTTCAAATGCCAGTGAGACCTGGTCTGATTAAACGTTCTCCATGGCAAGTGAGAAAAAAGGAAGGGTGGCTGGCTGCTAAGAAAACAAACACAAACAATGTGATATCACTGCAACGCTGACATCCAACCTGCTGGATATTCAAAGTGACCCAAGCAGTGAGACAGTCCAATCGGGAGGCAATCATATTGTTTACCATAAATTCTTTGAATAATAGGTTTGAGTGGTATATCAGCGGTAAGAAGTCAGCTTTCATAAAAGTTTCTTTTAACCCCTATCTACCTTGAGTAAGGAATTTAAGTCACAAGTTGCCTTAGTGAAAATACCTGAAATATCATTATGAAGTCATTGATGTGTGAACAAGAGCAATAGCATACTGTTCTGATGAGGTCAAACCAGAATATGTGCGAGAAACGGCTGTACTGTGTACTGTGATAGCCTCATGGAACTGCAGTATGCCCTGGCCCGCTCACCCCTATGTAAGGTGATAATCAGCACCAGGTATCAACCCACTAACAAATTCATCGAACACCTGGCACCTGGCAAAATACAGGCGTTCAATCATTTATTGACGTCGTCATTGCTCTGAACAGAGGGCGACATTCGACACCGCAAGCTGCCTCTGATAAAAGCACTGAAAGCAACAGCTTCCTATGTTAATGAATTGGTCAGTGACACAGTGGCCATTAGCGTGAAAAAATGGCTATTTAATGAGTACAAGTGTTTCTTGGCGGTTAGACTGACAGAGCAAAAAAAAATTATTTATCCTGAGTCTACAAAAATAAACAGCACAAC